TGTTTCAGATATCAATAAGTAGTGCTAATGTTTTGGAAGCCCAATTTCTTTCATTTTGGCTATAAAAGGCTTCCTCAGCTGAAATCCCAAATATGAAATCTTTACTAGGCTTCGACCGTTCCAAAGCTCTATAAGCGTTTTTAGCAACCTGCTTACTTGCCACTCTATTAAGAATTAAGCTGACTGTCTTAAGTGCCCTTCTTCCCAGAGTGACTTCTGGTTAAAAGAAGAATGGCAACATACTTCTTACCATTTCCTTAAGATCATTTCGTCTTTCAGCTACCCATTCATGCTAGGTGACCCGCATGTGTACCTGTTGGGACCGATACCGATATTCCTCTGTCTAGCAAAGTCCTGATGTTTGTTCACCCTGAACCATCTATCTACGCGTAGTAACTCACCACCGTACATCAGATCTACCGGTTTTAATTCTTCGTGCTTGATTTGATTCTCAACTTCAGCCTTGTATAGGCTTTGAACATGTTCCAAACTCAGATTTTTCGATGAATAAAGAATATAGGTGCCACATAATTGAGTAATCGTTATGACATGATATAAAATATTGTTACCATTCAGGATTCCGTAGAATGGCCCAATATCGAGTATGCTATCAATTCTAAGACGTCGAAGATCTTTGGCCACCTAATCTCTCACTTTTGGTCTGTTTTCCCTTGATACATTCAACATACGTCTAAGTCCGTAAAAACAAGGGAATCCAAAATGCCATCAACAAACGAACGCTAATTCTACCTTTGAGATGATGAGCCTAAGCGCATTATCCATAATGTCGCCCGAATTTCCTTATTAATTTACGCTTAGTATCCACGTGATTCCACATGCAAGATCAATTGTAGAAGCAATTGTATCAAGAAATATAGGTTGTCATAAATACTCAACGTAACGGTTCCAAATATTTAAATTAAAAAGAAAAACTGAATTGATTGTTTCCAAATGAACAGAATAACCTGATTGTCCAATACAGAAACAGAAAAGCCAAATTCCGTCTAAAGACGCGTACTACAAAAGTATCTTTTAAATCCAAATAATAAGCCAGTTCCTAACAACAACCTAATTGCAATGCTTCCCACACTACCGAGTCTCCGTCGCCCACAAAGATGTGTCTTTAACATCAATTGGCTTTCCGGGTAGCCTCAGACAGCCCTGCATAGAAACACTTATGCCTGAATAGTAGCACCAGAGTCTAACCACCAAGTATTTTCTAGGTACTGAAGCTAAATTAACCTCAGAACAGACCAAAGCAAGCGAACGTACCCTTATTATCCGCCAGACGTGATATTTTGTACAGTCATCTTCTTTACATGTCCAGTTCTTACAGAAGAAACAACCCCTGATTGTCCTATTTGTTTCTTTCTCAAGCTGGCCTTAGCCAGCGTCCTTATCATTCTGCCTTTTTGCCCTTATCCTTAGAGGCATAGGCCAGATGAGCCACTTTCTGTCTTATCTTGCTTGTCAACCTGTCTTCTTCTTGCACACAGTATAAATGAAGCTCATTTAGAGTCCATTTCTCCTTTGACGTTATAACTAACCTTAAATTGCGTTGAAACTGTGCAGGAAGAGAACAACAAAACCAGATGCCCACTAATAACTCGTCACAAAGATCGAGTTGATTTAAGTGCCTTAAGCTGTGAAGCATATGAGACATTTCATAATTACCCGCTGATATTTCCTTTGCCTTTATACTTCATTGCAAATCAAGCGAGCCCCTAAAAGCGTGCTTGTTTTACCTAAATCGTTTTTCGCCAAAACGCTTCCAATTCGGCAACGAAATCTTTTAGCCTTAGCTTAATCCCCTTCGGATCTATGACCCCTGAAGGCTTCCAAGGAACGACTGCCCGCTTAATGATCATAAGACTCATGCGATTTGACGCTCCCACTTCTCATCTCTTCTTTGCAATCAAGCGAGCTGTATCCGCATTAGCAGGTGAGAGGTTGTTCGTTCTTAATGCATAGTCGAAGATCCAATGCCAGCCAAGAACAATTAATATGTTCTCTTCCAAACCCTTGAAGTTGTCCCATTTAGCGATGGCGAATTGAGTTGATGTTAGCAGAAATTGTTGCAGCAGATGCATTAGCTGAAATAAAACAACAGAATGCTCCACATCAATAACATAATGCAATTAAAATTCAAATTACAATCCCATGCCACGATACCGCGCACAACAACTTAATCTCAATCATTTGGACATAATATTGACTTGTAAGTGATACATTGTTGGCAATGATCATAAAGACATAATCATGAACATAACATCACATATGAACTATCTTTGGAATGCGATTCATTATCATCATGTAAACCTTTTAATTGTCACCACGGCTTATCATCGCAAGATTGGATACAGTCTAAATAGAATATTAAGCTTCCTTGGGACCGACTAATATTTACACGAAAGCATCACAAAAAACTATCTTCACATTCCTCATGAACAAGCCTACACAAGAGAGTTACTTTGGCAACTCTCTTGTTGTAATTAATCAATTGGATGAGAGACAACCTTAATAACTTAAGGTCATATTATCATTTGAAGTTAAATAATTGATAAAAACTGAATGTAGATTTAAATTTAAAAAATTTTAATCAACTGAATTTTCAAAACGTTAATTGGGGTCTTACAGCCTTAATTAGGCCCATAAACTTAATTGAATAAATTAAGTTATACCAAAGTGGACCCGATGAAAAGCCGAGACTTTAACCATAAATGAACATCGAAGTTCCCTTAACTTCGACGCCGAGGCTTCGACGTGTATGATAGAGACCACTAAGCACGAACGCGGAAGTTCGTCTGAAGAATGAACGAACGCGAGGTTCGTTGAAAATGAACTGAACGCGAGTTGTTTGATAAAAGACCGCGAGGTTAACTTGGGACGAACGCGAGCCGTTCGCCGTTTAAAAAATGAACGCGATGTTCGACTGAAGTACGAACGCGAGGTTCGTCTGAAGTACGAACGCGAGTTTCGTCTTAGAACGAACGCGAGGTTCGTTAAAATTGAGCTTGACGCTCACTTGAGTTGAACGCGAGGTTCACCTTAGAACGAACGCGAGGTTCGTTAAAAATTGAGCTTGACGCTCACCTGAGTTGAACGCGAGGTTCACCTTAGAACGAACGCGAGGTTCGTTGAGCGCGAAGCTCGGTTAAAATTGAACGAACGCGAGGTTCGTTTGAGGTAACCACCTCCTTAATTTTCGCCATGAACCCTTAGGGTTTCAAACTGAAACCGCCGCCGCCGCCAAACCCAAAAAAATCTTTGATATTTATTTTCAAAAACAGATCCAGAATCGGAAAAATTTCTTGATCCAGATCCAAGAAAAATTGAAGAAAAAATCAAAGGAAAATCCAAAAAATTCCAAAAAGTTACTGTTCATCCGAAAAAAGCTTTACCGTTCATCCGAAAAAACTTTACTGTTCATCCGGACAACAAACCTTACTGTTCATCCGAAAATTTTCGTTACTGTTCATCCGAACCTAAAAAAATTGAATCTTTAACCAGAGATTTAAGATCAAAAACCCAATAAAACTTAAATCCCTAAGAATTAATCAACCCGGCTCTGATACCACTTGTTAGATCTAAATCAAAACTTAAGATCTAAAACCATATAGCCATGATTAATTTAGAGAGATTAACAATAATTTAAAAGAGCGGAAGCTTATACCTGAATCCATAGATTGATCTTGATTTTGGGTTTTGGATCTTCTAACCTTAGGGTTTCTCTAAAACCGAATTTCTCTAGCTAGATGGGGGTGTAGAGAATTAGAGAATGTAACCCTAAGTTAGGGACCATAACCCCTTATTTATAGATGTTGTACTTTTGTAATTTAGCCCCTCAATAAATTACAATTACAACCTGGTATCTGCACATATAACCCCATGACTTATTTAAATACCAAATTAACCCAACTTAATTGATCACTTTAGTGGGTTATCCTGAAAAATAGCAATACACATTGATTAATCATATGTGCCCACAAATAGATTTATTAGATTAAATCCAACATTCTTTTCACCTGATATTGCTCTCTTTTGCAACCTTAATTGAATCATTTTGTTTGAGTTAAGAGTTAGTGAAAATATGTAAAAAAAAACATAAAGGCAATGTATGTCCGCTGAGACCGCTCCTCCATCTTGCATGTGTAGATAGAATTATGTCTCTGGCGCATGAAACATACATTTCAAAGGTTAGATAGAAGGCCGAAGAACATTGCAACATAACACTTTTGAATTAGTTTTATCTATTTTATTTTGATCAATTAGGAAAAAAAAGAATATTTTCAGCTTTACGACTAAGATGAGAGCTCTAGGCATTAAATGCTTTTAATTTGGAAGGGTTTATCACATCTCCTATCAAGTACACCTGCATTTTTTCCTAGAGTCGTTTTTTTTGGTCATGTCACTGTACCTTTTATATGTATGGAGTCCCTTTTCTGATTCTTCTGAATATCAACATTTTTTTTATTTTGTGTTAAAGGGAACTGTGAGACTTCTTTTTCAACCCGCAGAAGAAGGCGGAGCAGGTGCTTTGCATATGATAAAGGAAGGTGCTCTTGAAGGTGTAGGAGCAATCTTTGGCATGCATGTTGATTACCAATTACCCACAGGATCTATATCTTCCTATCCGGGACCGACAAATGCTGCTGTATGCTTCTTTGAAGCTAAAATAGAGGGTAAAAGTGGAAATGCTGCGAGTCCTCATCTGAATGTGGACTCGGTAGTTGCTACATCTTTTGCTATTTTGGCAATGCAACAACTTATTTCTAGAGAAGATGATCCTCACCATAGCCAAGTATGTCAGTATTTATGTTGGATCTCTATACCATCATTACATAAACAATTACTTTGGTCACTTTTTTGCGATCTATCAGGGTGTCTATCAAGGTGGCAGACAGTTCATCCTTTCTTCTTTTCCTTACCTTAAATATGTTAAACAATAAAATGTTATAGATTCTCATTCATATTTCAAAAGCTACAACTAGTCCCTTTGTATAGGGATACAATAATAAGAAGTTCATTGTATAGTCTATAATTCTATTAGTTACATTCCTAATATCTCTCAATCACCAAATCACCTAATCACAATTAATTTATTAGTTACATTCCTAGAAATCACCTAATCACAATTATTTTATTAGTTACATTCCTAATATCTCTCAATCATTAAATCTATAATTTATATTTCTACTATCTTATTCCTAATATAACTATAACATTATAGATCTCCATAATATATTCCTTAACACTTCTTAAGCTGGAGCGTGTATATCACACATGTTTGGTTTGTACAAACAAGATGTACTCACTCCCATTTGTGACACGACTTAAAAGGCTAAAATCTTATGTGTGACTTTTCTCATCGTAGTTATCTTCATCTTATAGTCTTCTACTTGAATGTCTTCCACCACGAACAACCTCAACCAAAATCACCAAATATGATTCCTCGATCTTCTTCACAGATAGACTAGGGAGCTACCAAACAAACGATTCTCATTAGGGATCCACCGAAAGCAAACAATCCTCTCTAGGGGTATATCAAATAAATGATCATCTTCACTGATTAACTAAATAAACAATTTTCTTTCCGAATTAGCCAAATAAATGATCATCTTCACGGATTAACCAAACAAATTATCATCTTCACAAATCAACCAAACAAACGATCCTCTCTAGGGATCAACCAAACAAGTGATCCTCTTCACGGATCAACCAAACAAACGATCATCTCTAGGGATTAACCAAACTAACAATCCTCTCTAGGGATCAATCAATCAAACGATCCTTTTCACATATCAACCAAATAAACAATCCTCTTCGAGATCTAACAAATAAATGAACTTTTTAAGAGATCTGCTAAATAAATGATCCCTCTTTTATTTTTTTTGATAGCGCCTTTGGCGCAGACGGGAATCGAACCCAGCCCTCTCTTGAGAGAGCGACATGGCTTTGCCATGTGACCTACTAGGCCGCCTTAATAAATGACCCCTCTTTAGGTATCTACCGAACAAATGAAGTCGAGAAAATAACCTTTACCGAACCAAACTCCAAATCAAATCTTGATTCAATCAAAATCTTTTTTTGGTAGCTAATGGTGGTCAACGTTTCTAGAATACAATTGGTGGTGGTGTCGACAAGTTGAGTAGGCAGTGAACGAAGGAAAATCGAGGCGGCCCAGGCGATGACGAGATCATATATATTGAGGTTGACTACTGCTATAAATAATGCCAATCCTGATCATTAGCAAGACCATCGAAACAGGACAGACAAGAATTCACGACATCAGGCACAGTAAACAGTCACTGCGATATTGTGGTACTGTTCACAGTGAACAGTTACCACGGTGCTGTTTACGGTGACCGGTCACAAGAAAGAAGGGAGGTTGTAAGGCAAAGGGAAGAGTTTGATGGTGAGGGATTGGGGGGCTAGTGTTTGTGAGGATCTAGGGTTTTGTGGAGGCTAGGGTTTGTGTGGCTCTGATACCATGTACAAAAAATAAAATAAAATAGAATCTCATTCATATTTTAAAAGCTACAACTAAACCCCTTTATATAAGGATCCAATAATAAAAAGTTTATTGTGTAGTCATGTGGGACTAAACAAAATTCCCTAATCACAATTATTCTATTAGTTATATTCCTAATTCTCTCAATTACCGAATCTCTAATTTGTACCCCTAATATATTATTCCTAATATAACTATGACATTATTTATCTCCATAATGTATTCCTTAACAAAATAAAATGGACATGAACCTATAAATAGATTACTTGGAGCACAATGAATCTATTAATCCACTTACTCTGTTAATTTACTGTTATATAGAAATTATAGGCAAGATTTGTCATTTCAAAACAGATAACTGTCTGAATCCTGAAGGCTTTTAGAAGGAAGTTTCTTGGGACTATTTGCTTGGATATCACAGGCATGTCTCTCCACGCAAAGCTGAAATTTTTGCTTATTGGAAACAATTGGTCATCATAATTCAGTGTCAGAGATGGAATCCATTGAAGATTAGCCAAAAATCTATGATTGTATTGAAGTTATTTTTAACACATTCAAGGCACTGGAGAGAGGTTGCAACTACATAAATTATACAGTTTTTAGATTAGGAGATTTACGTTATAGCATCACATATTTTAAGCTCATGCAACCGATAACTGATGAAATTTGTCGTTGTTAGTACTATTACTCATTTCCAACTTGTGAAATATCTTGTAAAATGTAAATTATAATGCCTTGTAGACTATCTGATGATGCTCTACACTGTCTTCTTCAAGGTACTGTCTGTTACTTATGTCAAGGGCGGAGAATCACATGACACAACACCACCTTTTGTCGAGTTTGGGGGAACTTTGAGGAGTCTTACAACTGACGGCCTGTACAGGCTCCAGAGAAGGGTTAAAGAGGTATATGATTACTTATAATTTCATCACTAGTGAGTATGTTTGGGAGTTTAATTTTTGGTCAAAGTAGCTTTTAAGCTAACTTTTCCATATACATGTTTGGTGACATCTCAAATAAGCTAGCTCTTAAGTCCCACCTAAAAAAGTTGGGGTTCTCCAACTTATGAAAAACTAGTTTATAAGCTCACTTAAGTAAGCTAGATTTGTCCAAGGAAATGACTTTTCCACCTTACCAGATTTACAAAATTTCTATCATAAAGCCGTAAGCTACCCAAAGCTAGCATGACTTATATAAGCTTCAGAGAATAAGCCCTCCCAAACACCTCTCTAAGTTGCTCTTCTTTAGACACCCATTCGAGTATAATATCTGTTAAAGGATCAGGGCAGTTATCTTGAAAAAACATAATCTCTCCATAGCCATTTGTTCTTCTTATTGGTTTCAGGTAATAGAGGGTCAGGCACTGGTACACATGTGCAAAGCTTTCATTAGCATGAAAGATGAAGAATACCCAGCATACCCTGCTGTTGAGAATGACGAGAGATTACATCAGCATGTACAGAAGATCGGCAGTCTTATGCTTGGTCCAGATAATGTGAAAATGGGGAAGAAGATAATGGCCGGTGAGGATTTTGCATTCTATCAGCAGCTGATTCCTGGTGTGATATTTGGCATTGGAATGGCAAATGAGAAATTGGGTGCGGTCCATTCTGCCCATTCCCCTTATTTTTTCATCGATGAAAAGGTCCTTCCCATCGGAGCAGCATTACATAGTGCAATTGCAGAAGCATATCTAGATGAGCGCAGAAAGTTTGAAGGACAGTGTGGACCTGTACTCTCATAAAAAGCTATGAGGCCTTTATGAATTGTAGTATTGTACATATCTAATATTTGTATAGTTTTGTTGCAAGAATAACAGTCTGGTTGTCGGTATCCATGTTCAAAAAGGAAATTAGTTGCTGTTAGAACTTGGTAGCTTAGGGCATACAATAGGTGCAATCATTGTGAACTTCTTTATGCAGAACTTATTTTCAACAGAAAGTTTGTTGAAGTCTGAGTTCTGGGAAGAGTTGGAGAAGGATTAGGAGATTATTTAGAGGTTCTTAAGATTGTTATTTGGTTGGGGAATTTGAGTCTACTGTTAATAGTTATTTAAGGAATATGATCATGCATGATCTTACTACTGATCGATATTGTTGGCTTTACTACTATGATTAGAGAAATGGATCTTATATTCCCATGCAGGTTTGGAGGTTTACGTGGTTTGTTGAAAGATGTGATCTTATTTTGATGGAAGCTGCTGCACAGGTTCATTTTCACTAAGGTAGTCGAAGTCTTGTTTTATTGGCCGGTGCAAGGTTTGGCTTCTCTACTTCTGATAATTTTGCCACTGTTGTTAGATACTTCAAAAGCTTCGCCTTAAGAATAAAATTTTTAGGTTTGAGGTGATAATTAACATGGGGTCAAGAATTAGTCGCAACTATTTTGGTCGCACTTTCTTTATGCCCATTCCTTGGTGCGAATGTTGAGTATTACTATTCTCTCATGAACGAAACCAAGGAGACTAACTCGCAACCAAGGAGAATAAGCTCACTTTAGGCCGATAGTTCTCTCGTTTTTGGTCCTCTTCAATTTCAGCAATACGTAACTATTTGCAGATTCTTTCTCCGCACCTGGTGTAAAAACTCGCACCAAATAATTCTTGGGGGTTGGGTTGTTGAGGTGATAAATATTCGAGTATAGTCTCACATCGGATAAGATCAGGAGGAGTGATGAGTTTAAATAGGAGTTTTGGTCAATCTCTGATAGCTATAACTTTTGGGTTAAAATTGATTCCTAACTTCTGTTTAAGGCCTATCAACTTTATATTAGGCCCGATTTCTCCCCCCAACAATGGTATCAAAGCTAATGTCATGGTCCAAGTAATTAAAAAAACAAAATGATCTTCAATGTGAAGACCAAAGGTGTCAGGAGAATCCACCGATGTTTGTAGGAGTCATATAGTCTAGTTAGCCACCATGAGTGAAGTGGTGAAAGTTTCTACGGATGTTTGATAGCTATGTGCGGAATGCATTGTCTGGTTCAAAATTTTGTGAATTTGTTAGCCCACGAGTGAAGTGGTGCAAAAACTTGGTGTATTCCGTGAAAGATTGAATTATAGTTGAATTGAAATATACTCACAAATTAAGGGAGAGTTGTTAATGTGATTATATATGCGAGTATAGTCCCACATCGGATAAGATAAGAAAAAATGATAAGTTTAAATAGAAGTTTGAGTCAATACCTGATAGCCTAGTGACTTATGCACATGAGCAAGAGCATATAAGTGAAAAAATGGGCAGTTCATAAGGAGCTCACTCTTTCAGTCTTTTGACCAGAGGCACCTCGTCATAGAACCTCAAACAAAAAGAGGTTCATGTCACATCACGTCGAAATGGTTTGCATCACCCAATGCTTTGCTAAACATTCTCTTCCCTTCCCTGAAAGGGAAAGGAGCCGACTTGCAATCTCTACGTTGTATAATTTAATGAGCGTAGACTTTTGATAGATACGTAAATATTATATTGTTTATCCTCGTTATTATCCTCTTGCCAGAAGAATGAGAGCAAATGATTCATGCTACTGTTCGTGTTGCAGTCCCTTTCTACTTCCAAAGACAAGTGTCCAAAGTTTTTAGTCTAATATTAGCATCTTGTTCCTTATTAATTAATTAAGCGATGTCATCTTGTGTAAAATTAACGACAGTTAATTATAGATCCTTCTTATCTGGGTGATCATTGGCAGGAGCTGGTCATACGGCTTATTAGACTAGCAAAAAGTTTGTAAAGCTTTGAACTAAATAAGTACATACGTAATCCTAATGGCATGTAAGCAGATAGTAGCTCACAGAATTTATGATTTTTTTCTAAACGATTAATTTTTAACATACAATACTGATATCGACATTAATCCTTCTGGGAGAATATTGAAGTAGTTGTATTTCAATCATAGGAAAAGCAAATAGTTAAGTCTCTGTTCTCTCTTCGTATACACACACAAACATACATATTGTTAGATATTTTTTTTTAAATCAAGTGGAACCCATCGTGGCGGGGCTCACAACAAAATTTTCCACAATTTGGCACCGTCCAGCAGCTATCTTTGAATGAAAAAGAAAACGTGATTTTAAGAGTGTGGGCTCCACATGCATAGTATAAATAATATTATTTTATTAGTGCATAGTATTTTTCCAAACGCTATAAATAGACTCCATATATATATATATATATATATGTTGTAAAATAGCTAGTGCTCGTAGGAACATTGTCTGGACCGAGAAGGTCTTATAGATCGAGAAGATCATTGCCTTGACCGAGAAGGACTTATAGATCGAGGAGATCCGGCCTTTCATTGACCGAGATGCCCTATAGATCGAGGAGATCTTGACAGTACTGGGTCGGTGCACATCAGAGTCATGTACTGTTGTTTCTGGAAGCAATTTGGCCTTGGGATCCTTACACCGGAGTAGGCCAAATATTGCTTTAAGCACAACATTTTACAAACGCACAGCAGCTGAGTTAGAAAATTTTAAATTACTGCACTTCAGCTTTCTTTTCAGCTTTTGCTGCTTTATATCTGTATTATTTCAGATTTAACCACATGCGCTAATAATCTTAAAACAATATTCTGATCTACCATGGATCCTACAAGGACTCTTGGAACGGACTGTCTTAAGTTAGAGAACTTTGACAGTTCCAACTTCAACACATAACGTCGGAAAGTGATCTTCGGGATGTAACTCTTAAAAATCTACTATGTGGTCTCTGAGGAGAAACCCGACTCTGAAGAAGATTCTGAGTCTGAAGCCTCTTGGGCTAGAGATGATCACTTCTGCAGAAGTTATCTCCTTGATCGCTTGGCCGATCATCTAGCAGATGCTTACACCAGCAAGCCCTCTGTAAAGAAAATCTGGAATGCTCTGAAGGACCAGTACAATGATAAGAAGAAACTGTCCAAATCTCACCTCATCGATAAGTTTCTAGATTTCAAGTTCGAAGACGACACTGAGGTTTTTCCTCAAGTCAAAGAGCTTGAAAATGTTGTTATGAATCTGAAAGATAAAAAAATTAGTCTTTGTCAAACCTTCATTTCTGGTGCAATTGTCAACAATCTTCATCCATCTTGGATGTCATTCTCTACTAATATTCAAAGAAGAAAAAGACAGGTGACTCTGTCTGATTTGAAAAGAATCATTCGGATCGAGGACGAGACTTGGACTCGCACGAAGAATGAGCTCATAAGCAGAATGCATCTGCTAACATGGTGGCTACTAACTCTGAGAATGGTAATAATTTATCTTTCAACAAGAAGAAGTTCTTTAACAAAAAGAAGAACCAGAATCTAAAGAACCTGAACGTTTAGAAGAAGGAGTTCAAGAAGAGCGACAAATACTTTAATTGTGGGAAGCAAGGACATTTTGCCAAGGACTGCAAAACACCAAAGAAAGAAACTACACACAATGTCAATCAAGTTGATGATTGTGTGGCTATGATCTTCTAGGTAACAACTCCTAACAGCAAAATCTCTGATTGGTGGTTAGATACATGTGCTACTTGTTATGTTTGCTCCAATGGAGATTTGTTCTCTTCTTATGTTGCTACCAAAGAGAACGTATCAATGGCTGATCGTTTTGTGGTTCCTGTTCTTGAAACTGGAACTATGATGCTGACTCTCTCTTCAGGAAAGACTCTCATATTGAAGGATGTGAAACATGTTCCCTCAATTGCTAAAAACTTAGTCTCTGGAAGCCTGCTATATGATGCATGTATGAAGGTGGATTTTTAAGGAGGTAAGACTGTATTATCCTTTTAGAAAATGTATTTTGGCAATACATATCGTACTGATGACATGTATAAGATCAGTACTATTGCACCCAACTTGGTTATAAATGAAGTATCCTCTTTTACTTACTCCCCTGTATTATGATATAATAGGCTAGGACATGTAAATTATAGAAAATTATCTAGCATGGAGAAGTCAGGATTAATTCCAAAATATGGGGGTAACAAACCTGAGAAATGTGAAGTTTGCGCGCAAGCAAAGTTGACGAGGAAGCCATTTTCAAGTGTCACGAGGAGCACTAACCTGTTGGATCTGATTCATTTAGATACTTGTGACTTCAAGAGCTTCGTCACTCGTGGCGGTAAGAAGTACTTCATCACCTTCATTGACGACCATTCTCGTTTCTGCCACGTTTACTTGCTGAAATCTAAAGGTGAAACTTTTAGCATGTTTGTCGAGTTCCGGACTCGAGTGAAGAAGCAGCTTGGACTGCAGGTGAAATGACTCAGGAGCGACAGAGGAGGAGAGTACCGATCTAAGGAGTCGAAAGCATACTTCAAGGAGCATGGAATTATTGCTGAAACTACTACTCCGTGTTCTCCGCAATCTAATGGGATTGTAGAAAGGAATAATCGTACATTAACCGAGATGGTGAATTCGATGCTAATCACATCTGGTTTACCTACCTGCTATTGGGGAGAGGCTTTGCTGATGACAAACTAGATTCTAAACAGAGTATCCTACTTCAAAACTGATTATACTCCTCATCAGTTATGGTTGGGATATCCATATCCTTTGGATAATCTCAAAGTGTGGGGGTGTCTCGGATATGTTGGAATTCCATATATCAGAAGGCCTAAGTTCGGACCAAAGGCTAACAAATGTGTGTTTCTTGGCTTCGCTAAAGATAGTAATGCTTGCAAGTTCCTAGACCTTGGAACCAACTCCATCATTGAAGCTCGAGATACAGAATTCTTTGAGGATAAGTTTATCAAAGATAAAGGCTTATTGCTCAAAGATATAGAAGAGAATGGTAGTATGTTAGATGGACAAGAGGAGCCAGTTTCGCGAGAAATCGAAAGTGCCAATGATGAAGAAGTTACTGAAACACCATCGAAGCGTATCAGGAGACAGAATGATTTTGGAGATGAATTCATCACCTATAATGTGGAAGAAGACCCATAGACTTTCTAAGAAGCAATGCAGTCAACAGACACACTTCTGTGGAAAGAACTATAGAGGATGAGATTGATTCATTGATCCAAAATCATACTTGAGAGCTGGTGAATATACCTAAAGGTGCAATGCCTATCAGTTGCAAGTGGATCTTCAAGAAGAAGATTCGTCCTGATGGTACTATTGAAAAGTATAAAGCAAGATTGGTGACAAAAGGATTCTCTCAGAAATAAGGTATAGACTTCTTTGATATCTATGCACCAGTTTGTAGGATCACTATCATCAGAGTGCTTATCGTATGGACGGTGATTAAAAGGTTCGTCATACATCAGATGGATGTGAAGAATGCCTTTATCAATGGAGATCTCATAGAAGAGATCTACATGGAGAAACCAGAAGGACTTGATGCTCCAGTTGGTAAAGTATGTAAACATGTTAAGTCTTTATATGGACTTAAGCAGGCACTGAAACTCTGACATGAGAAGTTCGATGGGGTTGTTGGCAACAATGAGTATCAAGTCAGTGAATATGACAAGTGCCTATACATCAAGATCGCTGAAGGAAAAGTGATGGTTATCTACCTCTATGTGGATGATATGCTCATCATCAGGAGTGATTTGGAGATAGTAATATCTACCAAGAAATTTCTTTCAGCATAGTTCAACATGAAGGACCTTGGAACTGCGGACGTGATTCTCGGAATCAAAATCATATACTCTAAAGAGGGTATTGGATTGCCCCAATCTCATTATATCGAGAACATGCTAAGAAAGTATGGCTACAACGACCTGTTAGAACTATAAGTACCATACGATTACAACAAGAAGCTTCGACCAAATACTAGAAGACCAGTAGAGCAGCTGAGGTACTCAAAGAATCATTAGGAGTCTCATGTACGCGATGAGCTGCACAAGACCAGACATTGCATTCGCTGTAGGAATGCTTGGTAGGTTCACAAGTAATCTGAAAAGATTCATTGGGATGCTGTCTAGAGACTGATGATATATTTGAAAGGAACTACAGGTCTGGGCCTATTCTACACTGGATATCCGGCTATAGTCGAAAGCTATTCATATGCGAGATGATGCTCAGAACCAGATAAATGCAGATCTACTGGAGGTTTTGTCTTTACCATGGGTAAAGCTGCAGTCTCGTGGAAGTCTAAGAAGCAGACCATGGTTGCACAGTCATTGATGGAATCTGAGTTCTTCGCACTCTGTGCCGCAGGAGATGAAGCTGAATGGCTCAGTTGTTTTCTCCGAGACCTTCCATTGACAAAATTACAAGGTACAATTACTATCTATTGTGATAATCAGGCGGTGAGTGCTGTGATAGCAAACTCGATGTTCAATGGAAAGAAGCGGACCATTCGTCTGAAGCATGGCTATTTGAGAGAGCTCATTTGTCAAGGAGTCATCTCTGTGATTGACGTCCAGTCTTTAGAGAATGTGGCTGATCCTTTGACTAAAGGTCTGAAAAAGACATAGTCGAAAGGACGTCTACTGAAATGAGTCTCAAAGTTTTGTAAGTCTTACAAATACTTACCATTTATATCAAGTTTTTAGTTTAAAGCTTATGTTACTAATGATAAGATAATTGGTTTAAAAGTCAAGCAAGATTTACAAAGTTTGGTGAGTCTTACAAATACTTACCATTTACATCAAGTTATTAGTTCAAAGCTTACGCTACTAATGACAATTGGTGAGTCTTACAAATACTTACCATTTACATCAAGTTATTAGTTCAAAGCTTACGCTACTAATGACAAGATGATTGGTCTTACCATTTACATCAAGTTATTAGTTCAAAGCTTACGCTACTAATGACAAGATGATTGGTTCAAAAGTAAAATAAGATTTACAAGTAAAATCATATCCTTGTAAAGAGGATGGCTATTAAGTCTTAATGAGTCCAAAGCATTTCGGTTGCGGGCTGTTGGATGGGTAACATACCTAAAGGACTCACCGATGATCCTATCATGTAAAGGGGTTGGCTGTTAAGCCTTAATGAGTCCAAAGCATTTCAGATGCAGGCTGTTAGATAGGAAACACACCTAAAGGACTCACCTGGATTCCTATCATGAGAAAGGATGGCTCTTAAGCCCTAATGAGTTCAAAGCATTTCGGATGCGGGATGTTTGATATGAAACATGCCTAAAGAACTCACCTATGCATGGGTGAAGATTTGACCGTCTCCTATGGCGTCTTGTGAAAAGATACCTAGAGCTCTAGCAGAAACCAGGACATGCACAGGGCCATGAATGTGCAAGACTAAGGCAAAGGCAAAGGAAAGTGTGGTTCAAAATAAAAACTATCACAGATGAGTTTGATTTTGTGCGATCGTTGGAATTTTAGACATGTGCTGGTTCAAGTCTCTGCGACATCATGCATCTATCTTTTATTCAATTGGTCTAAGAGGATTCAAGTCCTTACGACATCTATCTTATGCACAACGATTAAAACAACAACACTGTTACACGACACTAGTTTAAAAATTTGTGGGGGAGTGTTAGATATTTTTAAACTAGGTCAAAAGAAGAGGGCCCCTCAGAGAATTTTAAAAAGGTGAAAAACATTGGAAAAATCTCTCTCTCTCTCATTTTCAAAGTATGGCATCGTCTCTGCCTAATTTCTTTTGAAATACTAAGTACGTGGACCCCACATGAATAGTAAATAATATTATTTTATTAGTGCATAGTATTTTCCCAAACGCTATAAATAGACCCCAAACTCTTAAGGAAAATTCATTCCAAAAACAATAATCAATATATATAGATATATATGTTGTAAAATATAGCTGGTGCTCGTAGGAATATTGCCTGGACCGAGAAGGTCTTATAGATCGAGGAGATTGTCGCCTTGACCGAGAAAGTCTTATAGATCGAGGAGATCGTTGCCTTGACCGAAAGGTCCTATAAATCTAGGAGATCTTAACAGTACTGGGTTGGTGCACACCAGAGTACTGTACTGCTGTTCCTGGAAGTAATTTGGCCTTGGGATCCTTGCACTGGAGTAGACTAAATATTCACTAGTACAAAACTGGTCTGCCCAAACGGTTGGAACCGTTTGGGAAAACCCCCTCCCAAACGGTTCCAACCGTTTGGGAGATGTAAAACACCCGTTTGGGCTAAAGCCGTTGGGGACAAGTTGTCCCCAACGGTCGCCCAAACGGTTGTAACCGTTTGGGCAAAACCCCAAACGGTTACAACCGTTTGGGATATAGCCCAAACGGTTGAAACTGTTTGGGCAAAAAATCGCCCAAACGGTTCCAACCGTTTGGGCCAAATTTTAGCCCAAATGGTTGAAACCATTTGGGCGAAAGTTAGCCCAAACGGTTTCAACCGTATGGGCTATTTATTTTAATAGTTTTAAAATTTTGCCTTCTTTATTTATTTTCCCCCGAAACGGTTTCAAATGTTTATATACACATCTCACATAATAAGTACTCAACATCTCACAATGAAATCAAAATATTCTCATACTTCGCTAAATATCCAAAGTTATATATTCATACACAATGTTTACTCAATATACTTAGAGACAAAATATATACATACACAATGTACTCAATATCTCACAATGAAAAGAATCTTATATACTTGTCTCTAATATCCAAAATGAGGTTGCCTTTTCGATGACCCGATCCATGTATAATACCGGTTCATGTTTTCGGTCTTTGCATTGTCTCTCCCTTGGTAGATCTATCTGCATTGATGGATGTGTGCATGTAAGTATTCATGGGTATGTGTAATCAAGAAGATCGATAAAAAGATAGATATAAATACCGTCTGACCTTGTTTTATTGCAGCATCATCGTTACATAGAAGGAAAAGAAAGCAACAGAATAACAGATGAAAATTATAAGAGTATATGAGTCATGTTTCAATGTGAGTACCATCGACTGGAAACATAACCTAGAGCAAATTCTTGATAGACTGCCTTTCCCCTCACCTTCCCTAAGAACAAACAGGCCAAATGCTAGTAGATAGAACATGAATGTTGTACTCATCACATTTTGAATTACTGATATTATCTGCACAAGTTTCATCAAATTGCCTTTCCTCGTTTTATGCCAACTTTGGACGCCATTTTTTTCCTAAAAAGTAATTATTCCCAATCAGATAATACACACATATATAATGTACATATGAAAATGCTAAAAATGAAAATAATTTCAGAATGCTTACTTAACCTGATGCAACTTTGATGTCCTGGTGCAGCTTTGATGTCCTGGGGCAATTGCTTGGATCGAATCAGCATGAAGTAATGCCTCAGTAGCCTGCAGCTCAATACTAGATTTACAGCACAGAGAAAACATTTCAAGAATATAAATAACTTTAAATTCTGCAGAATTCTAAACATGAGCCCTGAACCGCATAACCAATCATGACCAATCCTATCAACTGCATGACCAACCATGATGAACCCTGTCATTATGTACATCTATCTATATAGAGAATGGAATCTAAGTATCGCGTGCAGAGTGCTGTAACTTTGCAGATTGGATCAAACCTGACCATGAAACAATTCAAACTTAACCTGAGTTTAAGGTCAAATGTTTTCATTTTTAGTAAGATACAGTTTAAACCTTGACCAAATTTTAGATAGGTTGGATTTAGGCTAAGATGTGTGCCAGCTAACCCAACCCAACCTACCTAAAGTACTTAACGCCAACTAGCTAGTTTCATGAAATAGAAAAGCCAACTCTTCATTTGTAACTCATGGATATCAATACACATAGGCTAGTGCTTATATAAAAGGATGAGATCCTTAGAGATTACATGTTGTGTCAAAAGAAGCAAGTACTTTATCAAAAGAAATTGAGTATTTAGCAGTTATAATGTGGTGATTAAGGACTGTGTATGGCAGTAGTGCTAGCAACTTGAGTGAGAAAACCCATCTCCCATTACAAAAGGCAGGATGGCTGAAGTGGAGAAATGTCCACAGTATTATGTGATCATATAATAGCCCATGAAATGAACAGAAAGTTTCCACTAGATGGTTATAAGATCAGTTATAATTTAAAGGTAAAATGTCAAGCATTCAAGAAAATTATGTTCAAGAGATGAATTTATCTGAAAACGAGTAAGCAGCCATTGTGAGAAAAAGACTGAATACAGAATGTGTTCATTCATGGAAAATTAAGATAACATCAATAAATGATAGAAAATTACCCAGATTAAGCATGTAAGGAGACTATTAGAAGCTGCAAATGAAATATGAAGGCTTCTAACATAGCTGTGGAATACCAGGATAAGGGATAGAGCAAATAAGCTTGAATTGAAGCTGAAAATGAAATATGAAGGCTTCTAACTTGACTAATTATTCATCTACAGATAAACGAAAGAAAAAGAATTCAGAAAGCCGACAAAAAATTGAGACAACAGTATTCATTATTATCATTTTGCAGCAGAATTCATAAGCTAATCCACCAGATTTGACATAAAGAGTATACAGCTCAAAATAAATAAATCCAGCTCAGTTCAACTGTCATTTACATTCCTACCATAAAAGCTCATGCTTGTAAACTTCAAATAGTCAATCTGAACTTACTTCATCATCCAAAACTGCTAAAAATCTTATTATTACCCAACTGAGTAATTTCATCAAGCACTTACCGGGCATCAACCAGAACAGATCTTCTTCAACCTCTCAGCCGCCGACTGATCCACCGAATACTGCAACCCAACCACCAAAATATCAGCTATACAGATAACAAACACACACACACACACACACACTTGAACAATGCACAAACCAACACCACTTGAGCTAATAATTGTAAATTTGGTCTGAAAAGATTGAAGAGCCTATTACTAAATTAAAAAAAAATCTACCTTACAATGGAAAATATACCTTACTAAGCATAACAACAAGACTCATTCCGGCTGAGTAGCGTGTGGAATCGAGAGGCGATTGAGGAGGCGGCGGAGTAGCGGTGGAGGAGGAGGCGGATGAGAGGTAGAGGAGGAGGCGGAGGAGCGGTGGAGGAGGAGGCGGAGAGCTGTGGAGGACGAGGCGGAGGCGGAGGAGCGGTGGAGGACGAGGCGGAGGAGCGGTAGACGACGAGGCGGAGGCGGAGGCGGAGGAGCGGTGGCGAAGTGAGAGGCCGTGGTCGGACTTCCAAAATTTTGGGGCAATATCGCGCTGAGGGGCTATTTTGGGGGAGCGGCGGGTTTTAGGGAAAAATTTTGGGGAAATATCGCGGGTTCAGAGGGAGAACGGGGAAATATAGGGGGAAATGAAATTTCAATTTTGTAGGATCCATCAAAACTCCCAAACAAGTTTACCTGTTTGGTATAAAATATCTCAAACGGTTAAATCCGTTTGGGTGTTCCGTATGGATTTTTCTATACTCCCAAATGGTTTAAACCGTTTGGAATTATTATCCCAAACGGTTTGAACCGTTTGGGCTATCTTGATTTGCCCAAACGGTTCTAATAACTGTTTGGGCAGATCATTTTTGTACTAGTGATTGCTTTAAGCACAGCGTTTTACAAACGCACAGCAGCTGAGTTAAAAAATTTTAAATTACAGCACTTCAGTTTTCTTTCCAGTTTTCTCTGTTTTATATCTGTATTATTCCAGATTTAACCACATGGGCCAACAAATAGAACCTAGCTCAAATCCAAGCAGCAACATTACCCGTAAAGGGGATACTTCGACTGTAATTCTTCAAACTTGGCATGTAAACGAACAATGCCCGAAGGGAACAATTCCAATTAATTCGAAGGGTTCGAAAGGTAGATCATCTCCTGAGGGCAGGCTCAATTGAAAGCTTCGGGAATAAACATCCATCCTCCCGTATTTCTCGAGGAAATGCAGACGCTGCTGCCTTATCCCAAGGACATGAGGTATAGAGTTTAATCCGTATTTGTGGTGGTGAAGTCTATTTGTTTCTTTTATGAACTAATTATTTCTTTTTGCTGCATTGTATAGCGATTCAAAGTGGTGATCGATACTACGGAGCGAATGCTGACATAAACTTGTGGAGACCTCGAGTGAGGCCCAACGGTTTCAGTCTTCTAGGATATCGATAACATAAAAATCAGACAATTATGTTGAGAACACTGCTGGAGCTGGAATGGTGGTATCGTCGTCTTCACTGTTTTATAGTCTAACAAAATGGTCATGATCATTAGAATAATTAAAATATGGGTTTTTCGATATTGGTCCCTTAAATAGCAACGAATTGAATTTAATATTAGTCCCTCAAATATTCATATTTTAATATTAATTGCTCAGATACACTTTAGGTGTTGACGATGGTCTCTATGGCTAGGTGGTGTTAAAAGGTTAACGGAATATTCCATTAACTTTAACATTGCACTATTTGGACCCGAAACCCAAACCAAATAAACTCACATCAAATGGACCCGAAACGCGTCAAGAAACATATCTTCTTCCTCCTAACTTTAATATCTTAGAACCCATAAAACAACAACATAAATGCTCCAGTTGAGGCTGACGAGGTCCTCGTGAAACAGGGCTCGTGGGGCTTGATCTTGCCAAGGGATTCAAAGGTGACATAGTGTTTGCGGACGGTCTGAAGGCAGACGTGCTGAAGATTGGGAGTGGAAGGGATGACGGTGGAAACGTAGAAGAGGTACGTGACGTCGAAGAGAGGGAAGAGTCTAGAGAGGATGTCAAGGGGGCTGGTCCCGAGGATGCCAGTGGCGCCGATCACGAGGGCGACAGAGGAGTACGGGGGGTTGGGTGGACGTGGTGGTGTTGTGCGCAGCGGAAATTTCGGCAGCACCTCCGGTGCGCACGGTGCACAACAAGAGATTAGATCGAAATAAGAATTCCTGTCTCACCAAGGAAATAAGAATCTGAAGCGGATATCTCAACAAAGTGAGATATCGGCTCTTCCTCTCATCAGTTATAGGACTGACTTGTCGAGGGATCCTACAAGCTATTACAAATCACGACAAGAACACAAATTTTACGTGGTTTGGCAAATAGCCTACGTCCACGGGGCAAGGAGGGGGAGATCTACTATTAGAGGGAGAGATACAACTAGGGTTTACAATCACTCAATCTAAACCCTCACACAAACTCTCAAACCTCTCACAATATCTCTCTACAAAAGTACAAAAGGACTGCACAAAAAAAAAAACCACAAAGTCGGTTGCCCCTCTTTCTTCTGCTCCTGCGCTGTACACTACAGCCGCCAAAATTCCGTGCACACGCAGCCAGCCGCAAAAGAACTTTCACAAACCCTTGCTCTGTACTTGCTCACAAAATCCTAGGGAAAACCGTGTATTTATAAGCACAAATTGGATTTTCGGATGGGCCAGCTTGGCCCGCTGAATTCGTTACGAGAAACAAGCTCTGTCCGTTGTTCACGTGACGTGGGTCCAATGTTCACTTCTCCCACATCAAACTTCATGGCCCCCACCCACGTGACTCCAACCTCACACCAAAAATTCGTTCACTATTCTCCACCTCGGCGAATTTTTTTCAAAACTGAACCGACACCAACCAAAACAAATGTCCCACTTGTTGCGTCCAGGACGTCGTGGAAACCCTTCATGACAATGGACTCAATCCACAACAAGTCGGTAATCCGAACAAGAGTCCAAACAATCTCACCCCCATCAACTAATCTAAACCGGCTGCATCGTAAAGACTGCCTACGTATCCTCTTACCCAAGGAATCAAGCCTCACGTAGTTCACCCGGCTGCATCGTAAAGACTGCCTACGTATCCTCTTACCCAAGGAATCAAGCCTCACGTAGTTCACCCAATGGCCTCGAAAGGCCTCAACACCGAAGAATGTTCAAAAGTTCCAAACAATGACCAAACTTGACACCTGAAACAACTTTGGTCAACATATCTGTAGGATTGTCCTTCGTGTGGATCTTCTCCAACATGACGTCTCCTTTTATCCAAAACGTCACGAACAAAATGGAATCTGACATCAATGTGCTTCGTGCGCGCATGATAAACCTGGTTCTTCGCCAAATAGATAGCTGACATGCTATCACAATATACCTGAAGGGTCTCCTGTGCAATCCCCAAGTTCTCCAATAATCCCTGCAACCACAAAGCCTCCTTCACAGCTTCAGTCAACGTCATATACTCTGCCTCCGTAGTGGAGAGAGCCACTGTAGACTGAAGTGTGCATCTCCAACACATCGGTGCTCCTGCTAGTGTAAACACGTATCCGCTAGTAGACCGGCGCTTGTCCAGATCCCCCGCATAATCAGAATCCACGTAACCAATACAATCCTGCCCGTTCTTCCCATTCTTCTCGAACACCAAACCAACATCCACGGTATCTTTAATATACCGTAGAATCCACTTCACGGCCTCCCAATGACCCTTCACGGGGTCGTGCATGTATCTGGATACCATGCTCATAGCCTGTGACAAATCTGGCCTTGTACACACCATCGCATACATCAAGCTATCCATAGCATTGGTATATAGAACTTTGGACATGTATTCCCGGTCCTCAACTGAAACAGGTGATATCTTAGCTGATAGCTTAAAGTGGGGAGCCAATGGAGTACTCACCGCCTTGGCATACATCATAACTGAATTTCTTCAGCATCTTCTGCAAGTAACTCCTCTGTGTCAACTTCAACCTCCCCTTCACCCTGTCTCTCTCGATCTTCATACCCAATATCTTCTTTGTTTCTCCAAGATCCTTCATCTCAAATTTAGATGACAGCTCTTTTTTCAACTTTCTAAAAGCTGAAGTATTCTTGGAAGCTATGAGCATATCGTCAATATATAATACCAAATAGATATACTCACCATTCTGTAGCTTGTGCATGTAAACACACGGGTCATTGGGCTTCTCGTGTACCCTCGCCCAATCATAAAGCCATTGAATCTCTTGTACCATTGTCGCGGTGATTGCTTTAATCCGTAAAGAGACTTCTTTAGCTTGCATACCAATTCTTCCTTTCCTGCAGCTTTGAACCCCATAGGTTGTGTTATGTAGATCTCCTCTTCTAAATCTCCATGTAGAAAGACTGTTTTCACATCCATCTGGACCAAATCCAAATCCAACTGTGCCACCAATGCCAATAAAATACGAATCGACGAATGCTTCACAACAGGTGAAAATACCTCGTTGTAATCAACGCCCTCTAGCTGTGCATATCCCTTGGCAACCAATCTGGCTTTGAATCTAATTTCCCCAATAGAAGATCTATCTTTCTTTGCATACACCCACTTGCATCCAATAGCCTTCTTATCCTTTGGTAGCTTTGCAAGTTCCCAAGTGTCGTTCTTATGAAGAGACTGCATCTCTTCCTCCATGGCTTCCCTCCACCTATTCGAATCAGATCTTGACTCTGCTTCCTTGAATGTAGAAGGAATCAAATCATCAATGACTTCTGCTGATAAAGCATATGCAACCATGACATTGTCATATCTAGCTGGCCGACGAATATTTCTTCTTCGTCTATTAGCTGCAATGGACTCCTGAACATGACCTTGTTCCTGAGTCCTAACAACCACTGTATCCTCTAAATGCCCGGCTGTCATCTCATCTCTTTCCAGTGTCACCTCTGTAGGAGCCTCGATGGATACAATGCTCTCTGGAGTGGGTGGAGTCACATCATCCTCCCCCTGCTGTGATATCTCCTGAATCTGGTCTTCCTCCACCTACTGAGGAACTTGAGGCTTCATCATGTATGCCTCGTCAAATGTGATATTCCTGCTAATAACTATCTTCTTGTCTTGTGAATCCCATAACTTGAAGCCTTTAACTCCATCTCTAAATCCCACAAAGACTGCTTTCCTCGCCCTCGGATTTAATTTACCATCACTGACATGGTAATAAGCTGGACACCCAAATATCCGAAGTGACTCATAGTCACTAGCTACCGAACCAGACCAACGCTCCAACAGAGTCTTCCCCTGTATCGCAGTACACGGCAACCTATTCACGAGATGGCTCGCATAAACCAACGTCTCGGCCCAAAAGGATCTAGGCAATCCACTCTGCGTCATCATACATCGCACATTCTCCAGCAAAGTACGGTTCAATCTCTCAGCCACCCCGTTCTGTTGCGGTGTCTCTCGAACTGTGAAGTGTCGCCTAATGTCGTGATCCCGGCAAAACTGTAGAAACGGATCACTCTTATACTCTCCACCGTTATCTGAACGTAGAGTCTTCATCTTTCTACCTGTCTGCAGCTCCACTTTATTTTTTCGCTCCACAAAAATATCCAGGACCTGATGTTTATGCTTCATCGGATATACCCAATTCCTCTTGGAATAGTCATCAATGAAAGTGACAAAATAGTTGGTCCCACCAAGTGATGTGTGTTTGGAAGGGCCCCAAACATCTGTGTGAATATAGTGCAATATACCTTGGGTATTGTGAATAGCGGTGTCAAATTTCACTCTTGTCTTCTTCCCAAGTATGCAATGTTCACACAGCTCCATCTTACAGGTCTTCGTACCCTTCAATAGCCTCTGCTTCGCCAATACCTGCAGGGACTTATCACCAGTGTGTCCCAATCTCGTATGTCATAAACTGGTAGTATCTTCCTCTGTGGTAATCGAAGTTGCCAGACCTCCTGTTACTGTCTTTCCCTTCAAGTAGTAAAGGTTGTTTTCCCTGACACCTCGTATCACCACCATGGACCCCTTTGTGACCTTCAGAGTCGCATTCTCCAATATCACCTTATAGCCAGCTGCCTCTAAAGTTCCAAGCGAAATGATATTCTTCATCAATTGAGGAACGAATCTCACTTCCTTCAGCTTCCGAGTCACCCCGTCACACATCCGGATCCGTACTGTACCAATACCACCAATAGGACATACATGATCATTACCCATGAGCACAACATCCCCTCTTTCCAACTCCTCAAAGCTGGAGAACCAATCCCTCCTAGGACAAATATGGTATGTAGCATCAGAATCCATCATCCACTCCATAGAGACAGCGTAACAAACTGACGGTAATGCAGAGCAAGAATAGCCTGAAGAATCCGTATCTGAATTGTCGTCACTAGCCTTGACAACATTCACTTCCGAAGCTTGTACAGCTTTCCCTTTATTCTTCCCGGCTTTATCTTTTCCTTCTTCTTTGCAAAAGCGACATTGATTCCTACCAATATTTCTATGGCCACCTCTTGACTTTGATCTTGAGCGATCACGTGGACGACGGTTTGGACCACGGCCTCAAACTGCTAATGCATTTCCCGATGTCTTCTCTGAGGGTTCGCCATCACTCTTCCTCAACTCATAATTCACTAAAGCTGAGGTCACCTCTTTGTAGGTAACTGTTCTTCCATTTATCATAGTGAGAACAAACGTACCAAAATCATCCTCCGGCAACGAACACAATAGTAGCATCACCTTGTCTTCATCCTCAACCATGATATCTACATTGGCCATATCCGAAATTAGCTTCGTGAAGTTGTTAACATGCTCCCGAATGGAAACTCCCTTCTTCATCTTGAATTGGTAAAACCTCTTCTTCAAGTAAAGCTAATTCTCAATGCTCTTCGTCAGATACTTCTCATTGAGTGTTTCCCACATTCTCTTCGCCGACGTCTCGTTCATTACGTCATAAATAAGATTCGACGTCAAGTATGACCGAATAACTCCACAAGCCCTACTATTCATTTTCTTCCAAATCTTGTCCTCCATATCAGCGGGTTTCTTTTGTAACTCAAGAGTCTCCTCTAAATTTTATGCATCAAAGGCGTCCATCACCTGACACCTCCACAATTCGAAATTAATCTTGCCGTCGAACTTCGGAACATCAATCTTTGTGTTATTAATGCTCAAACTCTGTATCGCCTTCGAAAGAGACGATCCCGATGTGCTTGTTTTTCCCATGTTGTCAATCTAATTTTTCAAATGGGAATCCTTCAGTGAATCCTTCGAACAAGCCCCAAATCCAACCTGGAGCTCTGATACCACTTGTTGTGCGCAGCGAAAATTTCGGCAGCACCTCCGGTGCGTACGGTGCACAACAAGAGATTAGATCGAAATAAGAATTCTTGTCTTACCAAGGAAACAAGAATCTGAAGCGAATATCTCAACAAAGTGAGATATCGGCTCTTCCTCTCATCAGTTCTAGGACTGACTTGTCGAGGGATCCTACAAGCTATTACAAATCACGACAAGAACACAAATTACGTGGTTCGGCAAATAACCTACGTCCACGAGGCAAGGAGGGGGAGATCTACTATTAGAGGGAGAGATACAACTAGGGTTTACAATCACTCAATCTAAACCCTCACACAAATTCTCAAACCTCTCATAATATCTCTCTACAAAAGTATAAAAGGACTGCATAAAAAAACGACAAAGTCTGCTGCCCCTCTTTCTTCTGCTCCTGCGCTGTACACTGCAGCCGCCAAAATTCCGTGCACACGCAACCAGCCGCAAAAGAACTTTCACAAACCCTTGCTTTGTACTTGCTCACAAAACCCTAGGGAAAACCGTGTATTTATAAGCACGAATTGGATTTTCGGATGGGCCAGCTTGGCCCGCTGAATTCGTTACGAGAAACAAGCTCTGTCCGTTGTTCACGTGACGTGGGTCTCATGTTCACTTCTCCCACATCAAACTTCATGGCCCCCACCCACATGACTCCAACCTCACACCAATAATTCGTTCACAGGTGGTTGGTTCTAGGTTTCTCTTGGTGGTGCCGATTGCGCCTGCCCATCACCAGCTCAGGTTTGGTTCGTGTAAGAGTATGGAGAGTGAGGGAACTCAGGGAAGTAAGGGGGGATTGACTCATCAAGAGCAGGGCCGGCCCTAGCATAAGGCAACTAAGGCCTTTGCCTTGGGCCCCAAGTTGGATAAGGCCCACCTACCCATATATATAATATATGTAACTTAGTTACTTAAGCTTAAAGCTAACCCTATTTAAAAAGTGAAGATCCAAAGATAAAAAGTGAAGTTAATAGCTTAGCAACTTATGAGATTGAAAATTTTGAATTCTTAATAGCTATGAATATTTGGTATGACATATTGTTTGCTGTTAATTCAGTTAGTAAAATCTTACAATCTAAATATATGCATATTGATATTGTCATAGATCAATTAAATGGTCTTATTGTATATTTAGAAAATTATAGACAAAATGCTTTTGTATCTGCTTTGAATTCAACTAAAGAACTTGCTAATTAAATGACGTACAACCTATATTTTGTGAAAAACGTAAAATTCATAGAAAAAAACAATTTGATGAAATATTGGTAATGAAACAACATTTAACGCTGAAGAATCTTTTCGTATTGAATATTTCTATGCATAGTTGATAAATCGCTTGGCTCAATTGAAAGTAGGTTTGAACAATTTAAAACGTATGAAAAAAAATTTGGTTTTTTGTTTGATTTGAAAAAATTAAAAGCTTTAGATTGTATTAAATTGAAAGCATATTATCTTAATCTCGAAAATGCACTAAAACATGATGAACATTTAGATATTAATGGACTTGAATTGTTTTCAGAATTGAGAGTGCTTAGGAAAATTTAAAAATAGAGATTAATAGTCCAATTGAAGTGTTGAACTATATAAAGTGGTTAGATTATTTTCTAAATACTTGTATTGCTTATCGTGTACTATTGACTATACTCGTAACTTACCAACCCTAGGTAAGTCCTAACCTAACCACAGTTCACCTATTTTGACCATGATACTAACAGCAGGACCATTATCAATAGCTAAAGTATATTTGAGAGACTATTATCAAAATATGAAGATTTTAGGGACTAATATCTAATTCATTATGATATAAGGAACCAATATAAAAAAAACCCTTAAAAATAATAATTTTAATAGGTTTAAAATTTTATTTTATTTTTATTTTTTCAGTAGTGTCTCTAAGCACATTAAGAGTAAGAGCATTTTTAGCAACTGGTCAAAGTGATCTATAAGCCATTAAGACATGTTTGAAAAAATAGCTTATTTTGGCTCACAAGGCACATAGTTTGGCCCTGTAAGAGACTACTTTATCTCTTAGCATTCAAGAAAATTCCAAAGCACTCTTTCTCTATCCCCAACTCTTTTTTTATCATTTTGGCAACAATTAATGATGAATTGTAAGTCACTCATTTGCTCAACACTCTACTATTAGAAATGGATTATAATCCACTGAATTTACCGAACACTTTGAATTATACTCCACTTGACTTATAAGCCATTTGTGAATTATGAGCCAATTAGATTATTACCCAAAGTTGCCAAACATGCTCTACTTAAAGCCAAACTGACAAAAGTAAAATTTTAGAGCAGAAAAACCTTCCTCATGCTAGTAAAGAAAGAGCACGATCATCATAGAACTAAGAAACTTTTTCTTGAAGATGAATATGTGATACACACAAATATGTAATATATAATCTAAAATACTCCTCCTGAATATATAAATGCTTAGATTTAACTTGATAAATATGAACCGCAGATATTACTTTAAAGCCCAAAAGGGTGGTGCAGTTATTTCTCAAAGAACTGCTAAAACAATATTTTTCGTCTCATTTTAGGTGTATCCAGGGTTTTATGGAGATTATGAGAGTCGACTTTCTGTATACTTGAAGGTAGGGTATAATGCACAGAAATCTATTACAGTTAGCACTCTCATTTCTCTTACTTATTCTCTCAAATATTTATTGGAGCATTTTGAATCAACAGGCAGATAACTATACAAGAGCAAAGGTTGCTACAACTTGTTATGTTCAGGATTTGTTCAAGTTAGTGACTACATCGCCTTAGGTACCACAATATTTTCACCATTATCTACTTAAGGTGGGGATCAGTACAAGATCAATGTCTACATTATCTGTTGTGCGCGGCGGAAGCTTTCTAGGGCAACACAAACAATAACTCGAACTAAACCACAAAGACTATGCAAACCACAACCACAGCAAGAACAAACAATTTACGTGGTTCGGCAAGTTGCCTACGTCCACGGGGCAAGGAGGGGGGAGATTTTACTACTAGAAATCAAGGGAATACAAATAGGGTTACAAATCTCTCAGACCAAACCCTAAAACAAAGCTCTAGATCTCTCAAAGCTCTCTCACAATTGGATGCAATGATTCTCTCTCTTTGGCTGCTCAAATTCGTCCAACCTCTACCCTAAACAAACAGGTTTAGGTATATATAGAACTTACAAAACGAATCGGGTCGAAAACCTGAAAGCCCAGCCCAAAACAGCGTCGGTCGACCGGACCGGTCGACCGCGATCAATTCCGGTCGACCGGCCCGGTCGACCGACCGGACCCCCGGGCCCGTTGGCCTGGTATAAACCATAGGACCCACCGAGTGTAACGCGTTGTTTGGCTCAATCCCCTGTCAAAATTGACTAGCCGATATTACAGTTGAGTCTTGGGCTTACCTATTTAACACTAGTAGAAAAACCACCAATCTAGACGGAACAACCTAGATGGAAAAAATTTCCGTCTAGGTTGAATCAAACTAGATGGAAAATTTTCATCTAGGTTGATCCGTCTAGTTTTGGTCAAACTAGACGAAAAATTCCGTCTAGTTTGACAAACTAGACAGAAAATTCAACCTAGACGGAATTCCGTCTAGGTTTCTGTCAACCTAGACGGGATTCCGTTTA